ATTTAAAGAAGTCTTGAAGTAAACAGGAAGCAGATTTTAGAGTTATAATTACTGTAGCCACTAGAGGGCGCTGTCAGCATTTACAATTAAAACAAATAAAATATGATAATTAATGTGATAAAGACTGAAAACTGAAAAGAAGGATCTGAGGGAACCACTGAACCTCACGGGGGTGATGGTCTGAGGAGTGGACCAGGAAGTCTTCTGGAACTGGGTCCAACAGAACCATGATCTCTAACACAACTAATGTACCACAGAAAGAACAGTGTGGTGCTGCTGTGGTCCAGAGTCCAGGACCTGAACCTGGCTGAGTGACTCAGATTAAAGATGTTGTTTAACAAACACTGACCTTTGACCTGGTTCTGATCCAAACAGGTGGGTCAGCAGGGAGCAGGTACAGCAGTTCACCNTGGACTCCTGAAGACATCACACTGACCTACAAGTACCCAGAAGGTAACACAGAGTTCAGCTTGCATGTGACCAACAACAACCAAACTAACACATGATGCTAACAAGGAGGACACTGATGTGTGCAGGCAGTCCACAGGACCAGCAGACCATGGCTAAGGCTGAATCATACGGCTGTGCAAGGAGAAGCTTTGATGTTCCTGAGAGCAAACTGAATGTTGTCATCGTGGCCGACCCGGTAATATTCACACAGCAGTTCTGATGTGTGTTTGATGAAACACCAACATCATCCCATCGTCTGCAAAACAGTGAACCAGAAACACAACCATCATCATGTCTGCTAAAAGAAACTCCTCTCTGCTCCTGTGCAGCCTCCTCTGGGTGAACCCGTGAAAGTCGTGGTGACTTTCTACAACCAGGGCGAGATCAACAAAACGGTCAAAGCTCACCTGGAAGTCTCTGTGGTCTACTACACCGGAGTGACTTCTCAGAGCTTCAGATCTGAGAACTTCTCTCTTCAAGTGCCCAGAGCCCAATGTGAGCAGAGAGGAACCGGTTCTGTGTTTGAGTCGGGTCAGGTGGACCTGATCCGTTGTGTGTTTGTG